CGAGCGCGCCTATGCCCTGACGTGAAGTCTATTCACTGAATGGTGTGTCTCTCGCTGAGAAGACCCCCGTAATTTGCCAGATCAGCGTTGTGCTTTCTTTACGCCGAGAGAAGTTGGAGAGCAGGCTGTCGCCCTCCACACTCAAGGTTACGTGGCTGCCATCTCCGCTCTCATAACGCGGTGGCTGGCAGCACCGTGGGAACGCATAACCTCATCATCCGGTTCCTCAGGGGCGTTAAGCGAATTAATCCACCCCGCCCCCTCTCATGCCCTCTTAGGATCTCGCCCTCGCTACACAAGCCGCGTCAGATCCCTTCGATCCTCGACTCAGTATTTTCTGTCCCTGAAGACAGCTCTGCTGGTCGCGTTGATATCGATTAGAGGGTCGGGGACCCGGAGGCATTTTTCGGTCAGTGACTCGTGCCTGTAATTGGGCTGGCTTCTCTCACGTATGAGACCCCGCCCGCGATATGTGCCCAAGGTTCCTACCACTCCGTTTTAATACGAGGTAGTGAGCCTGCAAGCGCTGCCCTCGGAGGAGGCAGACCCAGCCCTTATTTATTGTCCAGTTCGCGTTTTGCGTATTATCCGGACCGCACTCAGAGTTTAGATCATCTGAGCAGCTCTTCGTCTGTTATAGCGGTCGGCAGCAGGGAAGTGCCGTACCGAAATAAGTTCCCACTAGATTGTGGATGCCTTTCTTTCACTATCAGAGCCGAGATGAGCCGCGTCCCCCGAGAGCGCGTGCGCACTCCACTCGGAGCTTCGCATCCTCTCGAGCGCGCGCACGCGGCGCCCCTCTAACAGACATCTGTAGAGCTGCGGGCTGGGTGACACCCAACACATTTGCAAGGTTTTACAATCTGCGAGTGGAGCCGGTTTCCTCAAGGGTATTAGGTAACCCTTGGTGATTGAGGAAACAATTCGGTAGGGTGTTGAAACACGCTTGCTGCGCCATTTTCCCTAACACGGAGATACGTGCGCCTTTTTATCTGTCAGTAAAGTTCCCCGTCAGGTGAGCCCTGCAGATTCCTCCGTGGCCCCCAGCACTGACTCAGCGGAGGAGTCACTTGCTGGCCCACTACGTTGTAGGTCTGCCCGCTGGTCAGCCCGCGTTTTGGGTAAAGGTGCCTGCTATGCGTGGTCCCCACTAGGCGATCCCATATGCTTATTCAGCCACGGTTAAGTCCCCCCCCCCCTGGGCGGACCCGTGTCTTCCCTCCCCGCTAACCACTCTTTTGCTATGCGTACTCCCCCTTTTTAGGGCTAGTCCATATGTAAATTCTGCCATCTATCCCCCCTTGGGTAACGGATGGCCTCCGCAGCGTCCTCCCTATCGGGATTGCACGCTTCCCAATGTACTGTCGTATTTTCCTAGAATTATCTAGATGCTCACGACTTCCCAAAAAATATATATAAATCCGTAAAACTTCTGTTGAAGTAGGATAAATTAGGGCCAGGGACATGTTGGAGGACCGCGCCCCCCATGATGTGGGTGCGTCACGCTTGCTTGACTATCTCCTCATCGGGGGTGTTGGTAAGGTGCAGTCATTATGGCGCTTTCAATGGGCTCCCAATGCGTGGATTTTACAATCAAATCCACTTATAGTGCTGAAGTTCCCCCCGAAGGGGAACGTTCGAGGTTACTAAAGTAACCCTTCGTTCCCCGAGGAGGGGAACGGAAGCACTATACTCCGTCGCCATAATGACTGTCCCTTAGCTGTTGAAAGTCTCTTCAGCTTAAAAAGGATAGCGTCTGCTGCGCCAGGTGAGCTTATATACTCAGTTGATTGCTTATGCCGCTCACCTGCGCAGGCTTGCGCTGCCAATTCATTCTTAATTGGCCCGTTCAATACTCTTTCAGACGAGTAGCTTCTGAACCGAACCTCCCAATGCGTGGATTTTACAATCAAATCCACTTATAGTGCTTCCGTTCCCCTCCTCGGGGAACGAAGGGTTACTTTAGTAACCTCGAACGTTATTTGCTGAACATCAACGTTGAACAGCTGAAATTAAAACACACATACACACACACACACACACACACACACACACACACACACACACACACACACATATATATATATATATATATATATATATATATATATATATATATACACACACACACACACACACACAGTTGACATCAGATTTATTAAACCCCTTTGAGTTTTTTTTTTCTTTTTTAAGTATTTCCCAAATGATGTTTAAAGCAAGGAAATGTTCACAGTATGTCTGATAATATTTTTTTCTTCTGGAGAAAGTCTTATTTGTTTTATTAATTAAAAAAGCAGTTTTAATTTTTTTTAACCCTTTTAAAGTCAAAATTATTAGCCCTTTTAAGCTATTTTTTTAGTCTACTAAACAAACTATCATTTTACAATAACTCTAATTACCCTAACCTGCCTAGTTAACCTAATTAACCTAGTTAAGCCTTTAAATGTCACTTTAAGCTGTATAAAAGTGTCTTGAAAATATCAAGATAAATATTATTTACTGTCATCATAGCAAAGATAAAATAAATCAGTTATTAGAAATAAGTTATTAAAATTTTGTTTAAAAATGTGTTCAAACAATCTTCTCTCCGTTAAACAGAAATTGGGGAAAGAAATGAGCAGGGGCATAATAATTCAGGAGTTTATTAATTCTGACTTCAACTGTATTAGCACCTGGACTGTGAAGTCCAGGGAAAATCAGGACAGATTAAGGGAGTGTTGTTTGGTTTTACATTTCATGTGTGCACTCTCCCTCAAAACTTATTCATTCATTTAAGCCATCAAGGTGTACGGTTACATATAACTATAGTTGTCAGTCTCTGATGTGAGGCTTTGAGCGAACAGGCAAAGCAGCATTCCAGTCTCGCACTCATTCCTCACTGCAATGTCAATGACTGCCAGGACGTCTTCTTTCATATAATTTATGCCACTTATATCAGCTATCATAAATACTCACAGTTACACCAGAAACTAAATCGCTCCTAGGCTGTGAACACTAAAAGCCCTCAAGTGCTGTACATATTGAGTAGGCTCTTTTTTTCTGTTTGCTTTCAGACTGTTTAAACTGTCGGCAATGTAGCAGATTGTTTACCGGTTGACACAATTCCACGGTATATATCGTCGCCGTACCGCCCAGTTCTAGTGTGTGTGTGTATGTGTGTGGCCTGTGATGTTCTTTGCCATCAGAGAGGCGGAAAAAGAGGCAGATAAAAGTGTGCTTGATAAACGAGTGTGCGACTCCCACCCTTCCTGTGATGGATGATGCAAGAGAAGAGGGGAGCCTCCTCCCCTTGAGAGAGACTACAGAAGGTCTGCGACTGCCAGGGTGCTCAGCGGTGCAGAGCAGGGCTCCCAGAGCACCTTGGGAAATGACAGATTTTTGCAAGCGATCGATAGTCTTCTCTCCAGCAGCCTAACTTACCTCCTGTGGTCGCTCAGGCTATTAATCCGAGGCACTGTAATTTCCTCCTGAAAGCTCCTGGAGGAAGAGGAGGAGCAGGCGGGAGTGGAGTCGGCTCTAAACGGCAGCCTTTAGAGGGCCAAAGAGCGGGTGACATGACAGGGATTTGTCTTCGAAAAGTTTTCCCTCACAAATAATACACTCACAAGCAAGCTTTAACAAATGCTTTGTAGACAAATTGCACCATAACGGTAAGGAAATGAGAGTTGCAGCGCTGCCTCGACTTACTTTCTGTCCTCATTTCCTCCACTTTGATAGTCTCTGTTTGCTTGTCTCCATTTCCTCTTATGAATGTCTCTTTTGCTGTCTTCTGTTATGAATGTTGTAAGCCCTGAGCAGTAATCGGTGGACAGAATGAGTTTGGCAAGAGCGGTTGACAGAGGTGTAGGAACAGTTTGAGAAGTTGGGGGAGTTGGTGAGAGCATGTAATGTTGAAATGGTTGCTGTCAAGAGTTATATAAGGCAGAGACACCCAAATTCTTGCATTTGATGCAGTCCCGCCTTGGTGTTACTTGAGCTAGCAGGACATGTGAATGTTTTTGTGATTATTTTAGTTTAACAAACAAAAATCCTTTCCCAGTATTGGGTTGCGGCTGGAAGGGCATCCGCTGTGTAAAACATATGGCACTGAATAAGTTGACAGTTCATTCCCCTGTGGCTGGCAGGATTAAAAATGGTTAAATCAGTTATAAAATGAGCCTATTTTCAAAAAAAGTGAAGTGTTTCTTTTATTTGTTTTCTTTTTTTAATGGAATATTCACAAAAAAGTGCCCTTTAGGTGTGTTTGGGCCAGATTAAAATAGGAAAAAGAAAAATAATTGTATGCTGATTTGCTAAACACATTGTGAATAGTCATTCTGTCATGTCAGAGATCACATTCTCTCATAAAGCTCTCAGTGCTACAGAGAGGTCTCCTGCAATCAGATCGGTGCTTAGGGCATGGCCTCAACCTTCTTCCTGATGCACACGCCATTGCCAGTGGAATATTTAATCAACAGTGACACTTTGCAGGAAACTGCACAATATCAGAAATGACCCATACAAGATCATTCCCGCTGTGAATTACTGTGCGGTTAAACTCAGATACTCATCTGAATATTTTTACTGCTGCTCAGTGATATTACTTACATCCCCGCTGACACCTGTATGAATGCACGGCATACAAGAAACTGGAGATTTTAAATTGTAAAACTGCGAGTACTGCTGCGGATGGCTGCCAGGTCATTGGTATGCAGTTGCTAAGGTGTTCTGGGAGGCTGTTAGCATGTTGATTTGTGGTTGTTAGGACATTCTACATGGTTGATAGGTGGTTGCTTAGTGACCCGAGTCAATGTAGCCCATCTCCAGGTCTCTCTCATAATCTTTGTGCTTGATTCAGTGCATATCTATTAGATACTTTTCCTCCCATTATGTTGTTTTACCAAAAGTCTAATTGATGTATACCTTGCTTTTTACATACTTTCGTTGTATTTCGTTTGTTGTGACATTGACATTCTGGTCATAGCACCCACTAATTTCATCTTGTCTTGATTTTTTTTCAGGATGGCTACTATTCGCACCGGCCCAAGGAGAAAGTCCGTGTGGACAGCAACAATGAAAACTCTGTTCCCAAAGACTTTGAGAATATAGACAACAGTAACTTCGGTGCACGTTCCCAAACACAGAGACACGCACCTGGCAAGCACAAACAAGGCCTTCTGGAAAAGGCGCATGCACAGCAAAGCCTGAGCAAGAACTCCAATGAGGTCATTCAGTATGCACAGAACAAAGCTGGCCTCAATCAGACGCACACTGATCTTCACCAGAGAGCCAATCCCACCCTCCGCCCACAGCAATCCCAGCAACACCGGCACCACTTCCAGCGACCCAAGCGATCGATCACACCCACTGCTGACATCAAGTATGACCAACCACCCAAATGTGAGATCAGTGGAAAAGAGGCGATCTCTGCCTTGTCCCGTGCTAAAACCAAGGAGTGCCGGCAGCAGATAGTAGAGGTTTACTGCCGCCACAAAGAACACCAGCTCATGCCCGAGAAGGTCACCCGCTACTGTCCTGTAGAGGGTGAGCAGAATCTCATTACACTACGAATTTTTGAAATCAAAATGTTTGGCACATTTAATATATGCTTGAAGCTATTATGTGATGGAAACGTTATGATACGAAAAAATTCCCTACTTTCTAAATGATTGTTGTTGATCTTTGGAACAATTCTGATTAAAATGAAAGCATTTGACCAACATTTTTTAAAGATTTTATTTTTTAAGAATTTAATAATCTGTCAAGTTTGTAAAAAAAATGCTGCTTCTGTTTCACTGTGATTTTCATAGATATTAGGATCCAATCAATCCGAATTAGCTTTTCAGTTTTGAAATCAGATGGTGCACTGGACTGTAGAGATCTGTACGGGACACAATTTTTAGTCCCGTTACCGCCAGGTTTTATTCCGCACCTGACCGCTCCCGCTGTATGTTCAGCCTTTGTTCACCCGCTACCTGCTTAGACTAATTTTCTACCTGACCGTTCGCGCTAGATTTCGATCAGGTTTTCAGAATCTCCCGCTTAAATTGGGTAATACCAAAAGAAAGAGAGAGATAACAGATAAAAATGTAGGTTGTGCAAGGATTGTAGGCTGAATGTCAGTTTTGTTTGCCCCTTTGTGATGGAGATGAGTGCCGTGTAACGTACGGTGAGATTTGTGGCTGGTGAGGCACAGACCCTTTTAAAGTCAGATTAACAAACATATCCACTGAATATATTTGCCAACTACACATTGTGTTAAATATGATTAAATATGCTTCCCAAAAACACCCAGCTGGATGCTACAGAGTCCAGGCAGCCTATAACAAACAACACATAGAACAACTGCAGATGCGCACACTCTCTCTTGCTCACCCGCACTCTCTCTCTCTATTTCTTGTGAACGTTTTATTATTAGACTGCCTGTTCACGTTTTAATCACACCAGAGTAACTGTCTGCTACCGCATTTTATTTGGAAATGTATTCCTGCGTGCAGAGTTACTGAAGTTTGTCCTGCGCGCTTGCGGTTTTTTTTAGTTACTTCTTTGGTTTGGTGCGTTAATCTGATCGTTACTATTATTCAAAAGAAGGTAATGATTCGAACTCAATTGCTTCATACTGTTTTTATTTTTACTTTTTCTTACATTTTACGGGTGATAACAGACAAACAGACGTTTCGGCACAAAGCCTTCCTCAGTGTGAAATGTATTCCTGCGCCACAAGAAATCTGGTCGGGTCCCACAGCTGTACTATAGAAACCTCTACTGGACTGCCTTTTTAGTGACTTTTGAAATGAGCAGTTTTCTGTGCATTTCATGTTGCTAGGCAACCATTGCAACACCAGTCTTTGTGCTGGAGTGCTTGACATCGGGCACTTTTGCTAATTAAATAAAAGAGTTTAAAAAGGCACCTCTTGCTGCAATTTTTTTTTCCATGTGATCAGAGCCTTAGGGCATCCTCACTCTAGGTACAGTTGCCTTAAACTGTCCTGAAGCACAATTGTCCCCCTCCCTTCTCCCCCGACGGCCTGAACTCACCCTGCATTTAGCCTTCCAACCCGGAGTGCGATTACGTCATAAATTATGCTGTTTAGTTTAACAGAAGAGAAGCGCTCTCTCTCAGCTCAGTGGAGATTGATTTAGTTATATCGTTTTGTATTATCTTTTAGTCGTTTGGGATGCAATGACACGCAGTAAAATATTTTGCTGAACAGATCCACACCTTTAGACGCTCATTAATTATCATAAATGTCCACGTGCTGCACATATTAGGAGGTTTGCTGAAGGTGTAGTGAGAATTTTGCGTCTTTAATAAACTTTGACAGATTGTGTTCATTGAAAATAATAATTAATCCATATGAAACAGTCTCTTAAATGTGGTGTTGCATCTTTATTTTCGGGCTCAGGTGCGCTTTAGCACAGCTCTTCCAACTGGGCCTGGGCCGACCAACTGACCCATGCTCAGGCACAGTTTGGATAGCCTAGTGTGAATGCAGCCTTAGTCACTTTTTTATGCACTGGAGTCAACAGATATGTGTTCAATCAGGAACTTTTCAGAATGAGAGTTTTCCCGCCCCCATAGCTGCCTAGCAAAAGTCTTCATCACCACAGAACAGAAAACTGTACTTGTCAGGTCTTTAACTGGATGCTATGATGTTTTCCATTGGGATAAGTACTGATTATAATCATCAGTTTGCACTGGCATGCAGGCAGACATTAGCTGGTGTTCATGGGAATTTAGGATAAATAATGTTCGAAATAATGATGGTTTTCCTGAATTAGATGCCATCCTGTCTTTGGAGGTTTATGGAAGTCGCGTATTAAGAGTCACAGGGCTGGTAACAGACGTTTACAGCGATTGTAATTACAATCAGAGACAGGCTGGAAATGAGATTCTGGATTTCCGCACAAGGTTAGATGGATGTAATTGCTGTACAGTGTTTTTTTCCCCCTTTCCATCTCCCATAGCTGACTACAGAAAACATATTCATGCAATTATGCAGTGCTCAGTCATCTGCACACAAATCAGGACTGTGGATGCGTTCAAATAGAACAGTGACAGATCTTCTCAGTGCTCAGAGCCTCTGCCCAGAGAAACTTCCGGAAACTAGAATGGGTTTTGACATATATGACAGGGACATCACCACAGAGACATGAGTCTGGGATATGCGGAGGTTGTAAGGGGTGAGGCGGGGCAAGAACGCCTCTATTTCCAGCAAGTACAGTAGACCGAGCAAGCCGCATGGAGGATCCTCGTATGTATTTATAAACTATAATTGCATTATACAGTAAAGTAGCACAGTCTTTGATGGCAAACACGTGAGCGGTTTGCTTCAGTGGTGGCAATTAGCTTAAAAACAGCCTGAGTTTGAAGCAAACGGCAGGTTTTTAATGAACATTTTTGAATGATTGAGTTTTAAATGTGGTTTAGGTTGTCGGTCATGAGGGCCCACAAGGAATCTGTGCATTTTTCACATTTTCTATGTTAACTGTTTAGGGAAATCTGCAGAATAGATTGACTGAACTGAGAGTGTTTACAAAGCCCATAGGCTGCTTGTAACCTAAATGGAGAAATATTGACATTTTAGTTTTTTCAATATTTTAGAGGATTACCTCACTAAAATCTGACATCATTGGAGTTATGAATTTTGTCTCTGTAGAAAACTCAGCAGAATTCAGGCCGGACTGCACATGTTGCAAAAATAAGGAATGCTTTTAAGTTGAACAATGCTATATTACTCAATTCATCTTTATTTCTATAGCGCTTTTACAATGTAGATTGTGTCAAAGCAGCTTAACATAGAAGTTCTAGTCAATTGAAACTGTGTCAGTCCAGTTTTCAGAGTTGAACTTCAGTTTAGTTTAGTTCAGTGTGCTTTAGATTTCACTGCTGAAAGTTCGAACACTGAAGAGCAAATCCATCGATGCACAGCTCCACAAGTCTTTAATGGAAAAAAACTTCACCAATTGACGAAAGTGAAGGAAAAAAAAAACTTGAGACAATCCACTCTCAGTTGAGCGTGACCATTTCTTCTCTGGCCAAACTCTTTGTGCAGTGCTGCAGTTTAGGCGCCAGAGGCTGGAGAACACTGGACGTCCATTGTGAAAAAGCTGCAGGTGTGAGTAGGTCACTAGCGGGTGTTCAGGCTACCCATAATAAAGTTGCACATCACCCTATTATTATTATTTTGCAGTTATTATTTGCAGACCCATTTATTACTAAAACTGTTTGTAAATCTTTTCTACTCTGGGGTCAGTAAATTTCTTTGTAGTATTAAATTCTTTTCTAAAGCAAGGGAAATTTTTCCAGGGGTTCTTTTTAAACAATCATATAAGAGTGCTATTTTTTTCTGTCCTGTAGAGGGTGAGCAGACTCTTCTCATACTACAATTTTTTTTAAATCAAAATGTTATGCCAAAAATAAAAACGGTTTAAAAAGGCACCTCTTGCTGTCAAAAAAAAAAACAAAATGTTCCTGTGATCAGAGCCTTAGTCACTTTTTTTCACTAGGGTCACACGCTAATTTTTTCCACATCTATATTTTGCAGTAAAGCCATTTAAAGTACAATAATAAAATTGAATTTATATTAATAAGCAATGGTAAATTTAATACAGTTGAATACACATACTGAATACACAACCGTATGTTATTATATAACTGAATTTTTATCCAGCCTTGGTAAGCATGTGATTTTTTTTTTTTTTTAAATCTCTCTTCAAGCTTTTAAATGGTAATGCGTGTCGCTTTAAATGCTACAACAAAGATCTATTTACACTTCTTTACTTGCCATGCTCATGATGGAACAACAGCCGAAAGATCTTGGAGCAAGAAGCAACTTTGAAAATGCTCACCACTTAAAACACACAACTCCGCTTCTATTCCTAGACATTCACGCTCTCTGACAGAATGTCCAGTGTTTCATTAAGAACACATAAGAAACACATATGATGGTCAGGCCTGTCCACCCTATAAAGACAGGGGACATTGAGGGGTTAGGTGATGTAATTACACTTAATAAAGGAGCTTCTTGCCTCTCCCAGCCTCCACCCATCCAGGGTCATCCAAGCTCTCCCTAAGGGCCAGGAGCGGTGCTTCTCCTGCCCCCATTCAGGCTCCGTCACAGGGTCTGGGAGACCGGTGCATTTTGGGACAGTAACGACAGGCTCAGCTCTCAGATTATAGTCATTACCCCCTCACGGCCCATGTCCTCAGTCAGCATGGCTTTGCGCCAAAACATAGTGCCTTCAGTGTAATTTCATACGGGCTTTTAAAATTAACCTCATGCCCTGTAATGAGTAATTCAGCTTGCCCTTCTTTAGAAGTGGCAGGCTATACCATGACATGGAGAGAGAGGCAGTTCGCCACGTACAGTATTTATTCTGTGGGCATTTTTAGAAAGCCACAAACGACCGAGGCTCAGCCCTTGTGGTCTGTGCTATTTGTGAGCTCTGAATGTATGTCTGAAGGAAGCCGGGGATTGGTGTCTTATATCAGCTATTGTGAAGATGCTATCAGTGGAACACTTATAGGCCAATAGGTGATCATGTGGTGGATCGCTGCGGTTCTGATTCCAGCATTATAGCAGTGTTGCAATGGATTGAGGTGCCCTCAAATGAGGTTAAGCAGGTTTAACATAGGTCCTGGAATTTCTGGAATATCATGGAGTTTTAAATATAATTTTTCTATTTCAAGTTTTGCCTCCTGTTATGTTTAGTCTATTTTTTCAGTGCTGTTTTATTCCTTTCTTGCTTGCCTGTTATTCTGTTCATTTTTCAAGTGTGTTCTTTTCTGCGATTGCGCTAGACTTCTGATTCATTTGCTTGTGGGTTAATGAGTAGAAATAACAATCGGGCAAACTACTTGTGCTTTAAACCACAGTGTTTATGACAGTATAATAAAATAAAAAATATATGATGAAAAAATACCAGTTTGCAGCATCAGTCAGCATTACAAGCTGTTTTGTATGGCTAAAAATGAATGGAAGTGAATGAGACTGGAAGTCTATACACTTATACTCTACTACACTACTACTACTACAATTTAAGCTCAGATCATCAGTGAAAGTATTGACCTAATCCTGTTAAAATTCATACCGACAGCTAGGGCCGCACAATATATAGTTTCAGCATTGATATCGCGACGTATGCTTCCGCAATAGTCACATTGCAAAGATATGCAATGTTAAGTTGGCTGTGCAGTATAATTTTTACATTTACATATACAAAACAATAAAGCATGCACTGTTTATTTTACTTTTATCATTGCTCTGTTGCATTTACACAAACACACACACACACACATATATATATATATATATATATATATATATATATATATATATATATATATATATATATATATATATATATATATATATTTTTTTTTTTTTTTTTTTTTTTTTGCATTATTCATTCTCCTACCAAATAATCCCAATCGATCAAAATGAATACAATTGGTAACACTTATTTGTACTTATAAAGCACATGTTCTGTAAGATCTTATTCAACATCCCTAATCCTACCCATTACTTAAACTACCTTAATAGCTATTAATAAGAAGCAAATTAGGAGTTTATTGAAGCAAAAGTCAAAATGGTTTGCTAAGATTGAAAACTGAACATTAAAATAAAGTGTGATAAAAAATTCTTTCCAGATATAACGAAGTATATTGCAATATGTATTGCAGACAAACAAAATATTGCGATGTCAGATTTTTCCAATATTTTGCAGCCCTATCGGCAGCTATAATAGTTCAAATAAAAACATCTGCACTGCTGTTTTGGGATTTGAAATAAATCTCTTGTGCTGACTAATTCTGTTGTTTTATTTGATAAAAAATAATACTATTCAAGAGTTCACACTTAGCTGATGATTTACAAAGCTTATTTGGCATGCTGTCCCGGGAGAGAGCCCCGAGCTCAAGGGCTCCTCGAGCCCGGGGCTTCCTCCCGTTGGCAGAGCAAGAAGGGAGCCCGAGCTCGGTGGATCTCAGAACTCCCCTGCCGCTGTAGCTAAGGGAACGTAAGGAATTAGACAAGCTTGATTGTTAAGTATGTTGAATGTCTTTGGATGGTGGGAGGAAACCGGAGAACCCGGGGAAAACCCACGCGGACACGGGAAGGACATACAAACTCCCCACAGAAACACTCACCGGTCCTATAGAACTAGGACCGGCAGTATTCTTGCTGTGTGGTTCACAGTGCTAACCACTGGACCGCCGTGCCGCCCAATCGCAGGTAAAGGAGGAGAATAGGGGAGGAGGGGGGTTTCTTCCAAACGAAGATAAAGTGAACTGAAAACTGAGGCTATTTATGGTGCCTTAGGGCTCATATGATTGGAAGATTAGTGATTAGCAAATACGAGACTGGACGTGATAAATCATAAGCACGTGATCCTCTCGAAATTAGTTTATGAATAAACTTCACTTAAAACATGTTCTATTGTATTATGTTTAAAAATATACAATGTATGCTTGTGATGGCAAAGCTAAATTATTCCAGTCTTCTGTGTCATGTGATCCTTTAAAAATAAACGTAATATGATCATATGACACTTAATAATATAATCACATTTTTTGTGATGCACTGAATAAACTATTTTAGGAATTACTAAAAAATAGAAAGAAATTTTTTTTGATGTTTTTTTTAACTCTAGAGGGTTTTTTCTATTTATTTATTTATTTTACCCTTGCTAAATTAAAAGTTTACATTTTCTGTCCCCAAACTTTTTAAATAGCTACATATACCATTAAGATAGTTCATGAGCAGTTTTTGACAAACTAATAAGACGTTGTCTATTTATATATGTAAAATATATTCAAACAAAGGTAAAAATGGAACAAAATAAATACATTTCTGACAACTGACTTACAAAATCGATTCTTCATGATCTTAATTTAGTCTTGAGTCCATTTTTGGCTAATGTGTGCATCTGTGTGTGTGTGTGTGTGTGTGTGTTTGTTCAGGCAAAGTAAACATGAATGTGCAATGGGAGGAGGACTCAATGGAGACTGTGCCTGCAGTACCAGTGCGGATCGCCTTCATGTTGGTGGTCCACGGACGTGCCGCACGCCAGGTGCAGCGACTCTTCAAGGCCATATACCACACGTCTCACTTCTACTACATTCATGTGGACCAGGTATAAGTTCAACACATCGACTTTTATTAATGAACTCACTAATCAGACCTTAGTGGGATCTTTATCAGATTTTTGTGGCCTAACCCGACTGACTAAACTGATTTTGCTATGACTTTTCTTACAATTTGCACAAAAATTTGTGGCATTTTGATATGCTGATTTGCCAAAAAAAAAAAAAAAAAAATATATATATATATATATATATATATATATATATATATATATATATATATATATATATATATATATATACATATACAGCTGAAGTCAGAATTATTAGCCCCCTTAAATTATTAGCACCCCTGTTTATTTTTTTCCCCAATTTCTGTTTAACGGAGAGAAGATTTTTCAACATATTTCTAAACATAATAGTTATCTTTGCCATGATGACACAAAATAATATTTTAATAGATATTTTTTCAAGACACTTCTATACAGCCTAATTGGGGGAAAAATAAACAGGGAGCTGATAATTTTGATACATATAATATATATACATACGGACATTTGTATTACTTTTGGACCTCATGAACCATTGCGTCCATTAAAAAAATAATTGTGAATACATGTCACAATGACATCATAGAAAGCATCTAGGCCCTGAATTTGCAGAAAACTTGTGACATTTCAGAATAAATGCGAGATTCACAAAATTGTGCAGAGTTTGCATAATTTTGAAATAAATTCAGTGATCGTAAAATCCTGGAGGAACTCACTAATTATCTAGTGGTGGCTGATTGACCAGTCGGAGCCATAGTGGGGGATAGGGAGGAGAATACTTGGTAAACAATGTGCTCTAAACCCCTTCATTCATTCATTCTTTCAGTATAAGCTGTTTCAAAAGCTTGATGGAGGAATATTAAAGAGCCATACTTCAGTGTCTTTCACACCATTTACTCTCCCAGTTTGGAAAGTGATAGAGTGTGAACATGAAAGGCTGTTTGTTCACACACACACTCACACACTCATTTACACACACAACACTGCAACCCCCTCCGTTAATTACACACATACAAAAATACACTTAATGAGCCACTTGAATTTATGGCAGGAATGCGTAGGGCAAGAACGCTGTCTTGTAATTTCAAAAGAGCAGGATAAAGAGCTGCTTTTCAATCAGTCCATCATCATGGAGACGAGCTTTATGACTGCGTAAAACAAGCAGAGGAAAAGAGAGGAGCCGAAGGTGGGGTGGTGGAATACAGAAAACACCACAAATCAAAGACTGTCGTGTGAATATCTCATGACAAACATTCACACATGCTGTAATACAAATCAAATCACCTTATAAAATAGATGTTTTTGAACCAGATATGTGTAATTTTGAAATAGTATCATGGAAGATGACTTACAAATTTTCACAATTTTTAAAGTAGTCACGTCATAGATGTTTCTACACTGTATGACTATCTGGAGTAGTGTTCTGTCGGTGCTGTGTTTACACTGCAGGATGGATTGGCGACAGGGGGTTTTACACTGAATTACTTTACAATAGGAAGAATCGCCGACAACTTTGTCTCGGTCCGCAAACTACGTCTCGCAACCAAACACATGCGAGAAGTCAAGATCAAGTAATATATCTTTAGTTATTAACTACATAATGAGGAAGAAGCCTTTAGTGGGGCAGAAAATATACTTATTTTGCTCACCTGGCTTTTGAAGATAATTAGTCATTGTTCTTCAACTTTTTTCTTTCTCCGGTTGTTTTCTGCTTGTGGTATTGCTTAGATGACACGTCAAACAGACAAATTATAAATTTTCATTAGTTTTTCCTCCATTTCTTGGGTTCAGTAGACCGAAAAAAGAAGCCCTTTTAACTTCACCCCCAAGCTCCTGCTGGCCTGCAGATACCCTTACTAGTGGATGCTGCTCTCTCATTGGCTGTAGGTGATCGCCGATGTTATTTTTTTATTAGAACACATTTCACATTGCATAATTTAGAATTTTGACTCATTGACGATTCTCACAGATCACGTCTTTGATAGATCACACTGTGTGATTGTTAATCATGAGAACAAGCACCGATCTGCCCATGATTTTAGGCATTTGTTTGAGATTTTCTCAAAAACCTGTCGGCGAGTCAAAATCAGGGCTTAAATGGTGCAGTAAGAACTCGGTAATACTTTTAGTACAAGCAGAGCTACATTTTAGTGATACACAGTATATTTTAAATTGGTTTGTGGGTCAATAGTAAAAATCCATTCAAAGATCTTGACGTCTCACAGCTTTTCTTAAATAGAAATTTTTCAGATTTAACTGAAAATTTGTGTTCTAAAGAGAGTTTGGAACTGCAAGAGGGTTAATAACTGATAAGAGTTTTTGTTTTGGTGTGAGCTGGCCTTTTAAAATTGTGTGCAGTTTTGATCATCAAGTAAACTCTTCTCTATTTTTTAAGGATGTTTAGGTGCTTGTTTTTTAACTGGAAAGCAAGACAAATCCACTTATTAAGAAAACATTGCAGTGAAACCACTCGACTGTTTGAAAAGCCTTCATTCACTTCATTCAATCAGTTTTTTTCCCCCACAAGGTGCCCTTAGTGGATGGTCAGACTTTGTTTATCTCATAAAGACGCTGGTCACGTTTGACTGACTGATCCCAGATAAAGTTCTCAGACTCCAAATTAACCAGCGCCTGTCTCTTTTTTTCACCCCACAGCGATCCAACTACCTGCACAGGCAGATGGTGGCTCTCGCTCACCAGTATCCTAACGTCCGGGTCACATCGTGGCGCATGTCTACAATATGGGGTGGTGCCAGCCTGCTCACCATGTACCTGCAGAGCATGAAGGACCTGCTGGCCATGAGGGATTGGTCCTGGGATTTCTTCATCAACTTGAGTGCGGCTGATTACCCTATCCGGTGAGTCACTAAACATGTTTACATGCATGCCAATATGCTGATAATTCCCAAAATCTAATATTAAAATAACTCATTGTTACTGTTTACATGTAAACCATTAACCCAGCATTGCAGGTCAACAGTGTTTACAAGACTGTATGAATCATTTTGTTTCCCAGTAGTAGGAAAATGAAATATTACAATTTGCATATTTAACTTCAACTGTGAGTATTTAGTTTGTTTGTTGGTTGGTATCTTGTTGAGAAAATCATGTTAAGAAACTGAAATATTTCCACATGCCAGCTTAAAATGTATGGTTCATGTAGCATATATATTAATTCAGCAGACCCAAAGCAACTTACTGTAGGAATTAGCATAATAGAACAACTTTAGTCCACAACAACGATATGTAGATCTAAATTCTTTTTGTGTCAAACACATAATACAGATGAATAGAATGAATAAGGAGTGCCATTTTTGGAGGATTAGGTGTTGAAGAAATAGTTGTGTCTTCAGACGTTTCTTAAAAATGACTGAAGATTCATTACACCAGCAGGGAACATTAAATGTGAATGTTCTTGAAATGTATTTTTGGGATGGTACCACAAAGCAACACTCAGTAGCAGAATTCAACATACTGTCAGGTACAAACCTTAAGTAGCGGGTTCAGGTAAAGGGGTGCAAAGCCAGCAGTTGTTTTGTAGGTCAATGACAGCTCTGTGAGTTTGGCGATTGGCAGCTAGTGAAGATTGATGAATAAAGGTGTGACATGCACTCTTTTTGGTTCGTTAAAGACCACTCTCACAGCATAGGTGAGATGGTGTTGGTTGAGAGGTCAGCCAAGGGAGAATTGCAATTGTCCTGCAGTAGCCTAAATGGAAAAAGAGTCTGGATAAGCATTTGAGTCTGATGTTCTAATAGGTAGGGCCTAATCTTCCTGATTTTGTTAAGAAGGAATCTGCATCAGGCAATACTAGCAATGTCGAATATAAACATCTCATCCAGACTCATTTCTGGGTTTCAGCAGTTGTGATTTTTTCAGTATAAGTTGAAAAAATATGATATGCAGCATATAATACATAAACTTTTTATACTGCAGTCTGGAATACTTGATTCTGATTGGTCAGTCGCAACGTTCCAAAGCATGTTATTCCGAGATAACAAATGCTGAATAACACAGCCTTATTCAGGAACTTTGAATTATCTTGACCATCAGTGAATACGTTCACATCCATAAATATGTTTGTCTCTCTCCGCTGTTTTTTGATGGTTAGGCTTCATCTTGTGACTAAATAATACATAGGTTAGTGTATGCTCTATTCAGCTGTTTTCATTTCTATCAACTTTAATTAAACAGTTAATAAACTATTACGTCTCAAAACAATGTTTTAGCAGTCTTGTAATAAATGGGATAAAGTACATCAAGGCATTATTCTGTAATACCAGCCACCTGGATGTACATTACAGAACATTTAATATGCATCATTTCTTTATATCATACCATTCGTATAATTCTTTGGGTTATAATTCTTTAAATTTGTAATATATGTAACGGAGGCCACCTAACAAAGTGCTATGCAGATAAACCTCACTCATCTGACATCTTAAGGTGCTCTAGCGACAGATGTTAGAGGCCATGGTCTTTATTATCCTCCTTGTTAGAGCAACCAACTCCCATGCAAAGAATCGCCGGTTCGATCCCAGCTCAGAGCGGGTTGAGTGCAGTAAGACAAGTGGGTTACAAATACATATACATATACATATACATATACATACTCTTGCCTTTAGAGTAAAAAAAAGTTTGCTCTGTCTGGATGTTGAATCCGCAGTAAGGCACGTTTCTATCTTCTATCACCCATGCACACTTCAAAAATCTGACAGAAAGCAGGATAATGTCTTTACTTCCTAGGCGAAATCCGTGTAAGTGGCAAAAATCCAACTTTGACATCCTGTTTACGCTTAAGCCATTTATCACCTTACTCTGATAATGGAAAATGTGTTTACATGACCACATGTCAACTTATTAAAGATAATCAGGTTAAGAATGTGCTTGTACACGCGTAACTCCACTTTTGACTGATTTTTCCATTGACATCATTTGCATTGTTTGGTTTGTCATTGTTTTCTCTCTGGAGCGATTCCGCATTTTATTGGTTGTCGGTGGGAACAATTGAGTTAACACCTGACTATCGTCTTGCTGTGGGCTGCTAGGAGATTAGTTCCAAGCAATGTCACAATTTAGTTTAGCTGGGGATTATGGGTAATTGAGATCACCATTGGCTGCTTGATCTAGTGTCGACAAGTTTGATGGTTCATAGAACTGCTGGGGGATTACATTTAAGTGCCTTGTGGAGATAGCAGTTGTTTATTCAGAATAAGTGCAATTTAAAATTGATGAAGCCTCAACACCTGAGCAAAACAAGGAACTCATAGATATTAAGCTCTGAAATTTACTGAGAGATACTGCACTGTTTATGTCTGAATATTAAAAAGGGGAATGATTCATAGGTGTGCATTAGTTTGTAGCGTGTGTTTTTTATGTGTACTATATTGAACAGAGTTATTTAGACTATCTTAATGATAACTTTTGATTATTTTAACAGCCTATTTTACAGCCTTTTCTGTAATGTAAATCAATAAATAAATGTAACTAAAAGAAACAAAGAACAAGCGTAAAATAGAACTAACAATAATAATAAAATAACAATTATTATAATAATAAAATAAAAATATAATTATTTTATTATCAATAATATTAAATTATAATAATACTGGCTTTATAGATTTAGAAACACATTTAAACACAATATATAATATCATGAGGTTTGATGAATAAATTATGTATTTAATAATAATTTTTTTAAAAATTAGCTGAAGCCATCATAATAAAATCCTTTAGTTAAAAATTTATTAAAATGAAGCAAAAATAAGTAGCTAACAATAAATATTTTATTTAAATATTAAGTAAATACATAGATTTTATAATTGTATATAGATTTTTTTTAAATACATAATATGATAACGAATAATTTAACATTTTTGAAATCATTAAAAATTTTACATCTTTCCTGTCATCCTTTTTGATTAAACACCTAATTTATTCCAGGATTTTTTGTACGCATATAAACTTCCAATTTAAAATACACACATAAATTAATAATAATAAAACAGTCCTGAGTTTCAGGATCTCATTCCATTACCTGTAACTCAACGTGGCATTTCTGTCGGTAAGCTGAACTGTGCCTGAAGATTTGAATTATGGCCATGATAAATGCCATTTGTGTGCATAACTCTTGAGTCTATAATGAGGGCAGGATGAGAGGTTGAGTAACCCAGCAACTCCCCCGGCTACAATCAATATTACAGCCATGTCATTTTCTGCAGCCCTCAGAAATCAGGGTGTTAGAGATCGATACAGCCCTGTGATGAATTCTGGCCTGTCCCGCGCAGCCGTTCAAGGTTAATCCGGCCTCTCTATCACTCAGTCGCACGCCACACCTCCAAAGCCCCTTTAAAGCAGGACATCAAAGAAAAATAAAATGATTCTTTTCATCTGTGGTGCCGAGTCGGATTCAGGTGCAAACTATAAGTAGCCTGTCTCTCTGTCTGTTTGTGTGTGAGAGTGTGTAGAGCAGTGATGTAGTTGCTATCATTTGTATTATACTGTGCAGAAACACCATTTCTCTAAAACATGAGGACAAATCGCTCCATTAAGGAGTCGGATCCGGCTCCTCCGGTTGCTGTGATGGAGAGTTATTTCTCAGTCCACTATCACAACAGAAACAGGGGTCAGAAGAGAGGAATCTGCGAGGAAAATAAACTCGGCAAAAGATTTGCTGAAAGCAGGTTGAGGAAAACAATAAAAGAAGCCTAAAAAAGGGATATTTATGTTTTTAAACATGATACTTTTATCATAAACATTTACTGTTAATCGTTTAATCGATAAACTCTTTATCAAGGTTTGGTAAAACAATGTATTATTTTTTGTTTTTCTATCTGTGAGGTTAAAGTATAAAGCAGGGGTGCCCAAACCTTTTCCTTTAAAGGGCCAGAAACTAGATTAAGGCTAGTGGGCAAAAAATAATCATAGCTGCCATGGGTACTTCATAATGTATATAAAAATATTTTTAAGTTTAACTAGAAAACACTGCTTTGCATTAATCAGTGGTGGAGAGAATGCTGAAAAATCATACTTAAAATGGTAAAAGTACCATTACTTGCCTTAAAAATGTAGTGCGTGTAAAAGTATCTGTTGTGAATATTACTAAAAGTAGGAGTCTAGACCTTTTAAAAGTACTCAAGAGTAGTAAGTAGTGAATATTACGCTGTAAAAAGCTGAAACATTTACATGTAATTTGTGGATGTGTGTAAACGAAATATTCTGTAGTGCATTTAGTCATTGCCTAGCAGGCACACAGCGTCACAAGATGTCAATATTAGGTTAGATTTAGATTGTGGTGTTAGGTGACCTAACTTTTATGTCTAGTCAGTGTCTAAGGACAATGTTATTTTGATGTTGTGGATATTTGGTTGATTTTAGTTTGTGTTAGAAACTGACAAATATCCAAAGTCAACATCTTAAACCATTGTCATATTGATGCCAAATACTGACATTTATTCATCAGGTTTGGTAACCAAAATCCAACGTCTGATGAACGTTATAGTGGTAACATCCACACAACGTCAAGCTGTAACACCATTAGACGTTGATATTTGGTTGATTTTAGGTTGGCCAATAATGTCGGCCTGACGTTAGGTTCTGACGTCATCCCCATTTTCATTTCCAAACAAAATGCAACATCCCCATAGTATAACGTCAATCTGACGTCATGTTGTCGTATTGTGTCTGCTGGGTGTTTAAGACTATTTCGGTCATCATACAGTAAACATTCGTCATCTTCTCATTAGTGACATGCATCTAAGTCTCTAGGTCAATGTGTGTAAAGAATTTAGACACGTTTAACGCTTCCAAGCCGTTTGTTCCATTTATATAGCGCCTATGTCTTGAGTTAGTTCATTAT